CTAAAACAAATTAAGTTTAGCTGAAAAAAAATTATTTCAATCCCAAATTGATTTCCATTGTCTTCCAATGACAAGTATTGCCTGTCTTACAATCTTTTACTGCTCATGTCCCACATATTCACTTATCTTTAAGAATGTAATTGTTTGTCTGCAATATTGTGGGGTGTAACTCAACAATTCAACTGATGATAGCAGGTAGGCACAAAGAAAACCGTGTCGCACGTCCAACCTTCTCACGAGCGAAAAACCCTCTCATTTGAAACAGCAGAAACGAGCCTGCTTTATACAGCTGCGGACCGACCACGATTTGCATCGCGAATCACGAGGCAACGAGATTTCACGTTAACTGACCGAGACCGCCGGGCATAAAAAATATGGGCGCCGCCATTTTGGTTTTCTTTTTACAGTTGGAAGGACCAGAGTTTACATACTGCGCCCAGATTCGAACGCGTTTCCGGGTAGGCCATTTTCACAATTTTCCCCACCCCCCTGATCTCATGATCACAAACAGGGCAGGGGATAACACAAGCTTCATCCTCGTGCGTGTTCTTGTCTGTGGTTTGAGTGTCGGTAAACACTGTGTCCGCCGGGAGGTTGCTGTTATCAGAATCGCTGCCTGCAGGTCTAACTCAAGGCAGATTGAACGCCACTACTCCCCAGACTTCGAATCGCTTTCATCGCTCGGTAGCGGTAGTGATTGCGTCACCGGTCGCAAGTCTTTAATGTGACGAGGCACCCCATCAACTCTCACAGATTGCGGGCTGATAACCTCCGTAACACGTCCAGTGCCGTGCTTTTGTCGTACACTTGCCGCGTGGGTTTTGACCCAAACGATGTCTCCTTTTTTCAATCTCCCTCCAGTCACTTCTAGTTCAGGCAGCGGGTTGGCTTCATGCCTTTCACGCCGGACATGATATTTGTGCAGTGCATCAGTCGGCGCCGTGGATGGTGAAATGTTATCGCCGGGCGACATTATACCAGTAAACCGCTTCGATACTGTACAGCCCTTCCTGGCTGCGATGGTCTTGATGGTTCTGTGGTTCCACTCCACGATGCCGTTTCCACTTGGCGAGTAGGCACATCGAAACCGCAGATGCACGCCCCCCCAGTGTCCGCAAATTCTTTAAAATCTTTACTGGTGAACGCAGTATCGTTATCCGTCAGTATTTCCATGGGTGGGCCTCGCTCCAGGAAAACATTCTCCAACAGTCGAATGACGGTGCTGGCGTCTTGTCTCTGCGCAGCGGCCGCCATACCGCAAACCTGGAGGGACCGCAATCAATGAGTGTTAAAAATTCTCACCATTGTAGTGAGTTATGTCCATTGCCAGTCTGCTCCAGTTGCTCTTCACGCTCAGTTCTCCTCTTTCCCAGTGAACGGGTGCCGGATCGATCGACTGACAGGTTGTGCAGGCCTTCACAACGGATTTAACGCTTTCTCTGGACACCTGCGGGTCGACTAACCTGGCGAAGTACAGAGTTCGTTTCACGCCCGATGTCCGCATTGACGATGCGTATTGGCAACCTGGTCCTCATCCAGTCATCTCCCTGCCACTGCACAGCTCTCGAGTGCCGGTTCTCCTCTTTGAGCAGTTCTAGCCACCTGTCGCGGTACTCTGGTGAGGCGATCTGCACGGTTCTGACAGGACTGCACGAGTGTCACGTCTCACGGTCAATCCATATTCGTCCACCAACGATCGCAAAATGCCCAGCCGTCGCCTGACCAGCATCTCACCAGCCGCCCTTGTGTTCACCCGTGCCTTCCCGGTCAAGGTGTCTGAAATCCACCGGTGCACACACGCCCGAATCAGTGACCAAGTGCAACGTTGTCGCCTCCCACTGGAGAGCCAGATTCACTCCTTTAAAGCGCATCGAAGTTCAGCCAAATTAATGTGCCTGGCATCATTAGTCGGACGCAGCCAGCACGCATCTTCGGCGACATTTCCGTTTACTTCCAATGCCACTCCTGTCGCCACGAACTCGCATCCACCAGACTGTGATCTCGCCACCACCATGCACCAGTCTCCTCCGACGGGATCCAGTTCCCGCACTCTACTTAACATCTCTGCTAGTATGCGACAGAGAGGGATCTTTGATGTTATCATCCCATCCATTGGTTGCCGCGGTTGCCAGGCGCTTGACGAATGCAACTGCCACCCTGAGCCATCCACACACTGGGAAGTGTCCAACAAGTTTCCCACACAACGAAAAAAACGTGCCGCCAGGTCAACACATCAGGGGCTTCCGAATTTGACTTCCTCGTTTCCATCGGAGGGTGCCATTTTCTTCCCAGACCTGCAAGCCAAGAACTCTTGCTCCATCTCTCAGTCGCACCGGATCCTTGCACACCAAACCGTAATCCGAAAAGTGTTGTCTTACACGCGATGCAGAGGCCAAACTTTCATTAATGAAGATATCATCAACGTATGCTGATGTGGCACTTTCAATTGTGCGGTCTTGCGATGCGATGGCGTCTATAACGGATTTCATGATGAGTGGCGCCACATTTAGCCCAAATCCTAGCCGCGTAAGACAGAAGCGTTGGCCTTTGAAAATAACCGTTTCAAATGGCCACAGCGCCGTCGATGTGAATCTGAAGATATGCGTTCCGCAGATCCAGAAGCGACACATTGACTCCCTGCTGCCGCCACGTTCTCAACTTATGTGCGCACACTTCTGCATCGGCAGTGAAAGCATCCACAAAGTCGTTCAATTCGCGGTAATCGAGTACCGGGACGCACCTTCTGTTTCTGCTCCTGCACGACTGCCATCAAGGGAATCAGACCCTTTGGGGTCCCAGTCTTTCCTGGGGGTACGGAATCAGCCAGCCGTTCACAATTCACTGCTGAAGCTCTTTCTCGTATTTTCCTCTGATGCTGTCTGGAACTTTGTACTCAGCGACCTTGTTACGGCTGAACTGGCGGGTCTTTTGGGCCCATTTCCACCTGGCGGTCCACACTCTCGCCGGAATTGAAGGAGACGTCGAAATCCGCTCACTAACGCAAAGGGCTGCACACCTTTCTTCTTTCACCCAGTTCCACATTTCTGGCTGGCGTGATCATCATGCCTCCTAACGCCGGATCGCATCAATCCCAAGTAGCAGGTCGTACTCGAGGGGCCTTTGACGTGCCACCAAGACGTCGACTTTGGCATGACTCCCTCCGTCTGTTAGGACTGACACAGTCCCGACACCACAACAGGCCCGGGACACCCGTCAATCGTCCGAATCACGATTCGTTGACTGTTCCATATCACGCGATCGATCCGCACTAACGATCGATCGGGAACATCCAGTGTCAACGGCGCCGAACATCGTTTACCCTCAACGACATGTTGACAACAGGCAATGCCGCATTTACTGACCGAGAGGGGCAAGGGTTGCGACAGCACCTTGTCCCCGGACTCGCTTTCCGAGCAATCCTGTGCTACATGGCCTAACTCTTTGCAGCGATAGCAGCGTAATCGTGCTCGGTTCCGTCTGCTGCTCCCTCCTACGTCACTTCCGGCTCCGCAGTCCCTAGAGAAATGGTTGGGTCCACCGCACTTGTAGCACTTTGGGCCCTCCTCGGTGTCTCAGGCGTTCTCACGGCTGCCGCGATCTGTTCAGTGTCCTTCAAGATGTTTCGGGCCCTGGCTAGCAATTCGTCAATTCCCAGTGTGTCCAATCTTGAAGACGCTTCGCAGGAGCCGACTGGTGTCGTCGGAAGCCCTGCCAGGAAGGCGCACCCCAGTATGCGGTCCGTTGCTCCGCCAAACGGTACTGCCAGCCTTCGCAAATCAGCCAGGTAAACATCCACAGTCTCACCCGGCTTGAGCCGTCGTCCGACGAACTGTTTCCAAGCGATGAATGGATCTATTCCAAAGGCCGTATACAGGGTGTCCTTGATCTCTTCTAGGTCAGCATCGTCCCCGAGTTGTTGATATACTGCGTAGGCTCCTCCCGTGAGTCTCAGTGGGATGACTAGTGCAGGTTCCTTTATTTTGGACACCCTGCAAACACGTTCGGCCTTTTCAAACCATTCGACGATAGTCGGGCCCGTGGGGGAGCCGTCAAATTCTGGGATCAACTTTAGATCGAACTTGTCCATTGCCGAAATAGCTTGTGGGGTGTAACTCAACAATTCAACTGATGATAGCAGGTAGGCACAAAGAAAACCGGTGTCGCACGTCCAACCTTCTCACGAGCGAAAACCTCTCATTTGAAACAGCAGAAACGAGCCTGCTTTATACAGCTGCGGACCGACCACGATTTGCATGCGAATCACGAGGCAACGAGATTTCACGTTAACTGACCGAGACCGCTTTCGGCATAAAAAACGCAGCACGCCGCCATTTTGGTTTTCTTTTTTTACAGTTGGAAGGACCAGAGTTTACATACTGCGCAGATTCGAACGCGTTTCCGAGGTAGGCCATTTTCACAATTTTCCCCACAAATATAAAGATCACAAACTAATTCTACATCCATTGACCCCTGGTGACCTTAGGGATCAGAATTTGACCTAGTATTTTTGTGTTTCAGTTTGCCAAAAATGACTGCACTTTTTAATTACCTCAAAAGTCAACATTGCATAATTGATGTTGCAACTGGAGATCTTGTAAGTCTTCATACCAAAAAGTAGCTTAATGGTCCTTGTTGTTTGAGCATGATCATGGCATAGACACATGTACACACAGGAAGCTCCATTACATTCATTGGTTTTGCCGCACAAAAGGAAAATTTCTGTTTATTACCATTATTAAGATACATCTCCCATCTAAAAAGTATAGTTTCAGTTTATAACTATTGGATGAAAAATACAAACGCCTTCCTTAGATGTTTGTTGTAATTGATAAACTTCAATTTTTTTTCTATAACTCCTTTAGTAATCAAAACAATAATGGTGAAGATCTAAAACTGAATGGTTCATAAATAAAACCTCATCTCAACAATAAAAAGCCACAATAGTTGAAATAATCTGGCTGATGTATAACTACAATAATAACAATCTTTTTTTCATTCAGGTTGACTGAGAAATTACAAGGCATTTTGGAAGCAACCTACATTCATGCAAAGAACTTGGCTTTTTTTACAGTCATCTACAAAGTGATCACTGGAGCTTTGCAATGGTTGCAAACTGAGAAAAATGTTGGCCACATCTTTCTGGCAGCTTCCATAGCAGGGTACACAGTTTTTGGCAATTATAACAAAGTCAATGAACAGGTGAGTGAAATTATAAGGATTAATAATGGTTAACTCTATTGATTATTGTCAATGCTTTCCTTGATGTTAATTAGTTTATGCATACCAATTGAAAGCACAGATATCGTAATGCAGAGTAGGAATGAAGAACCATGAAAGAAAAATTCATTTAATTCAAAGATTCTTACACATTTTGTATTCTCCTGCTCTCTATTGCAATATTTTACAAAGTCTATCTGTGCTATATGCAGTTATTTTGAATATCTCAAGAGCAAGTTTTACAGCCTCAAATTAGTGAGGACCTTACTGTGCATGTGTGAACACTTTTCTATGGGGTTTACTCAGTCAGCAATGAGATGCCACTTGTGTAGTGTGTTTGTTACATTCACAAGGACAAAGTGAGTAAATTCTTCACATTCAGCATTTTCTGGCAGAACACTACCCTAGGTAGATTTTGTCAAAAGACACCTACTCACCTATGAACAGACTACAGTCCAGATATGGCTCAGGACATTTCTAAAGTTTACTTTTGTATTAATATAAAATAGTAGTTGTATCATTTCCAGACAGACCTTATATAGATGAATAATTCTTCAAACCTTCAAATTTAATTTAGAACAGAATTCAATTTTTGTCCTATAGCCTTAGATTTTCCTATGCTTTATAGCAATTCCTTTACTGCTTTGATCAAACACACCATTGAGAATAAGACAAAATATTATTTCCATAATTCTACACACTACTACACTTATTTATACTTTATCTCTACATTGGCCATAAAATGTTGGTCTAGAAAAAAAAGACAAAGTTAATTATATAAAAAGTCTGTTAATTAAAGATCAGTTGAAAAATGTTTCTTTTATTAAGAAATTCAGAATATTGCATCTTGCATCTGTTTATAGATGCATATTGTCTAATGCTCCCACAAATCACAGACATGAAAGGAATTGTGATGTGGCAACTTACTTTTTTCTTTTTCCCTAGAAAAGGGAATATTCTTCTTATAGCTGCATATCTTCTCAAATTGCCAACTGACTTTTTATTAATCATTAATCTTTCTTGCAGACATTTAGTTATATGGTGCTCTTGAAAAAAAAAAGTTTTGTATATTGTAGTAAAACCGCAAGAACATTATTAAAGGCTTCTTTTGCCTAACAAAGAATACAGAAAGTAAAAAGAAATATATTAAAATGGAACAGCCCATTTGAGATGGAATAGGGTGTTTAAACAGTTCATTCTCCCCTCCTTTATTTCATAAACATATATTTTTTTTTATGTTTCGGTGCTGTACTGGTCCAGGGGTAGAATGTTCTATTTTAGGCTGGGTCTATCCAGACTCTAAGGGCACAGGAGAAGGTGGAAAAATGACTAGTTTCATTTGCAGACTCAGCCAGTGGCATTGGGACTAAACCATCATGGTACTCAGAGACAGTAGACAGGGGTTCCTTAGAACCTGAATCTAAATTCATTTCAGTTGAAGGGTTTTTGAGCCGATCTTCCCTAAGTCGCAAAGACAGTTTCTTCTCATATGTCAGCCAATCATATGTGAGTGTACTGAGGATTAGCCTCAATTATATCTGCTTCATCCTACAGTGGGTTATGCTATTACGGACATGGCAATGTAATAAGACAGAGCCAGGGATGGTTAGCCAAGTGGGTAAGAAGTGTCCACTAGGGGACCAGTTTTGTTATCAGAATAGTCTCTCATGGGAAGTGGCATTGGTAGCAGTGCACAGCAGTGATCTGATTGAATGCAGTACTTCAGGTAATACCATTTCTGACTGTGAGGTCTCAAGATTCCTGGAAGATAATGCCCGTGTAATAGATTTTCATATTACCCTGTTATACTTCTTGAATTGTCCGTTTCCTCATGTATTATAGGAAGTTGTCCAGTTAGTTGCAATGTTAAGGTTAGCCAGGTATTCTTTCATCTCTCTGGATTGAAATGAGTCCATGGTCCGAATGGGTCCTAAACACTGTGAAAATTTGTTTCAGACATTTCATAACCGAACCAGTGGTCAAATCCAGACAGGCAAAAGTGAATGAGAAACAGGAACATTTGTCCACAATATATTCAGCAGATATTGGTTCTTGGAGGAGGAGGGATGTGGCTTTTGAAGTTTATTTTAAGTCATGCCATAGGTTGAGTAGCTTTAATGAGTGGTAGAATCTGGAGAGTAAAATCTAGGCTTTAGGTGAGCACACTTGGGGTACTTTTGACATACTTTGTATTTCTTCAAAGGAGTATGGTGAAAATTCTTATTTTAATGAAATGGGCAAACCTTGTTGCACCAGCATGACAATGTAGTTCCTGCAATTTCTCATCACCAATAGTGGCTCCACAGTGAGCATGAGAGAATATGCCAGCAGGAATGTTGTTTTTGTCAGGTCGGTATACAATGTCATAATTGCAACACCCCAATTCCAATCACCGCTGCTGAATTTTGTTGTTCTTTATTTTACCAAGTCCTTTTTGAATTAAACATAGATTACAGCTTGCTGGTTAGTAAGGATAGTAAAATGCCTATCAGTTAAGAGGTGAGACCATTTTTGCACTGCTTCTTTGATAGTGTAAGCTTCTTTCTCAGCAGCAGAGTGCTTACGCTTGATATGAGAGAGGGTCCTCGAAAAGAAGGCAACTGGTTGAGCTTGGTACATGGTCTTCAAGTCCAGGGTACTGAAGTATTGATACTTTGCCACTTCATGTACTACATCATCTATTTGTGGAAGCGGGAATGTGTCCAACAATGTATACCAATTTATTGTTTGTGAGTAGTCTACCACCATTCTTCATTTATGATTAGCGTCTGAAGTGACCAAAACTTTTTTTGCAAAATAAGAAATTACAGCCCAATAATATATTGCAACACAAGTTATCTAAGATGGCCAGTTTCACATTAGGTTAAGTCTTGACCAAGCAAGTACCTCTAATTCTAGAAGAAAGTGATGAAGAAGTCATGCTAACAATTCCAACACAGTAATTTATGAAGCTTTCAATCCTCCCCATCTCTATCAAGGTATCTAAGTGTCCATAATGGCCTGTGATAAATGTGTGGCCCCAAGAATGAAATTACTGGAAAGTAATTGACACTCACCTGAAGCGAGCTGAATGTGTAATGCTCCTCATGCCAATGACACTTCCACCGAGCTTCACTACGGCTTTTGACTTCACTGAATTTGATGTGTTCCTCTCGAATTTTAAATTGGGGTCATCAGGTGAGAATGTGCACCGTTTCAGGGCCTTCCTCTCAACGGTTTCAGTTGCACACCGGCCCCCCTCACTGATGTGAGGCCCCATTATAACGATATACAAGTCTTGTAGATAAACTAGTTCAAATGTGTAACGGCGAAATTAAATTTATGAAAATTCAAAACGGCAAACCTCGGTTCTGGGAATGCAACGGAACCTCATTACGATTCACGATCAGTCATGTCATGTCATTCATGTTCGCTGAAACACTCCATGGAGTATTTCGTTTTTTCCATATCCACATAGAACTATTTTCTGTTACTTTTACTAGGCGTTTTATACTCTTGGCCCTATTACGCCCTTTGATTTGAATTTGGCCCAGAAATTGGTACAGAGTGCCTGAAACGAAACTCCTTGCTCCAATTTCCACTGCTCTAACAATTGCATTATACCCCTCCTTTATTAGCTCTGACTTTAGATTTTCATATTTATTAGTTTTATAATCGTGGCTTTGTTCCATCCGGCATTCATATGGTACTGATAATTCAACCAGGATGATTTTATGGTTCACCCTTGACAGAAGAACAATATCTGGTCGCAGACCTTTACTTGATATTATTTTGGGGTAATCATTACGCCAACCAGGAAGGTCTGCAGATACCTCCCAGATGCCACCAGAACTAAGGAGATTTTTTCCGGGTATAGCATGACATTTGCTTGTTTGCTTAGAGCCGACATATCTTTTTCCTTCTGCAACAAATTCCTGGGCTGAATTAGATGACTCAGACTTCATGTATTTCTTTATAATTCTGACCAGCTCATCCAAAACACTATTGAACATGACAGGCAAAGCTTCACTCTTCAACTTGATATAAATTTTCACAAGCTCAGTCATAGCGTCTTTGTATGTAAGAAGGGTGGTGACATACTTGTGTACTGAAGGTTCTATGTAAGTGATTAAAAATTCAGTTTCATTGAGTCATCTAAGCCTTCATCTTGTAGAGACAACAGGAAATTTGCAAAGGTCTTTCTCCAGTGTAGCCATTATTTACTGGCTATACTACTAACCGGATCAGTGGAGAAATATTGTGATTTTTTGTCTTTCCATGACAGTAATATTTTTTTAAATGTTCTAATTAGGTGAATAAATTGTAGTAAAACTGCAAGAGGCTAGTGACTTTATTAAAGGCTTTATTCACCTAACAAAGAATACAGAAATTAAAAAGAAATATGTTAAAGTGGAACATCCAATATATATATATATATATATATATATACATAGGAGGGCACATTTTCTTTATTAAGTTTTCTTGAGTGTGCAGACCAGTAGACATAATACACACCGTTTTAAAAACACACGCACATACACACACACACTTCTTCAGTTTACCTTTTTAACTTTTTTCCATAATCTGAACAATTCTTTTATGTTTGCACCAAATTGTTACTTCTGTTTCTAGAAAGGAGTATATGCCAAACATATTACCTATTTTCTTTAAGCTTCAAAATTAAAATCTGTTAAAAAAAATATACTAATTTTGACAAATCCAAAAATTGCACACTAATTTAAGAGTTGTCACAATACAAGTTATATTCCTAATGCTATTTAAGAGGCCAATATTGCTGATATGTAACAGTCAATGTGAAGTTGATACATTTACATAAGCAATTAATCTGAAGTTTGTGTGTTTGTGTGTGTAGTTGAAAACCTGTTAAATCATTTTGATATGAAATTCAGGTTACTAGGGGAAAGGTGAAAACTTTTGTTATGATATTAAAATAATGTAGAAAGTTATATCTGAATTTTCTTTCTCCAAAATATTGTATCCCTGAAAGTTAAATATAAGAAGTTATATGATGAATGTTTGCATACGTTAAGGCTTTGAATCTATTTAAATCCTTTAAATGATACATGGAAAATTAATGAATCTTTCACTTCTGTAAATATTTATTCCTTTATCCAATATCATATTTGTTGAGTCACAAAGAAAATGTAGCAATTTTATCAAATATGTCATCAGTATATGCAGAATGTCAGTGAAACATCAACTTAAAAAATGCATAATATGGCATTGTTTTAAATTGAAAAGTGGGTAGATATGAAAAAGCATTTTTTTGATTGAGTGAATTTTGAGTACAGTGACCAAATTACACAAACTTACAAGCATTGACAACTGATTCATGTAAGTAATTTGTTTTCATATTTCAGCAAATTGTTTTGCATTACAAATTGATTCAGTGGAAAATTTGCTTTTAAAATATCAAATTATAACTCTTCTTAATTTGGTTAATTTGGCATGAAATTCACATTCTACCCATTTTTTTGCCTGATTCATTTTCTTTTCAGGTGAATCTTTACCTGCTGTCACGAATAATATATGGCCTTGCTCAACTGAGTGTGAAGAAAGGTTACCTGCCAAAACCAACCAAGGAACCATTTCCTATGTTTGCTGCCCTTGTTTGGGGTATTGCGTTGTTGCTTTTTGAATATGAACGAGAAATTCTACAGACATCAATGAAGTCATCAATGACATATTTATATGATGACAGTAACACCTGGCATTCACTTAAAGATTTTCTTATATACAACAAATAAGCTTCGTCTGACTTCACATACACAATATGTGTGATATATATATATACATATATACACATCCAGTTGGACTAAAATTGCATCTTGTAGGTGAAAAATATTTGTCAATTTATTTATTTATTTTTTTTTCTGCTACTATCAACAAGAAATGTAACAGCAATATTGTCATCTCATTTACTTAGAAGAGCCATCAGAACAAATTAGAATTTACAATTGATTCCTTTGGAGAAGTTGTTTGGGAATGCAGTGTGAAGAAAAAGTCATTTTACATTGAGGCAATTACATAGTAATTATGTTTTAAAATAAATTCTAATTAATTTTTTTAACTTTATTAAATAGAAAAAAGTCTGCTTAATTGAATGAGATATAATTTTGGAGTATATTAGTTTATTAGTTTGTGTTAACAATATGTCAGTTAGTCATGTAAAAATAAAATTTGTATGAAAAGGCACTGGACAATTACAAAAAACACAAATTTAATATCTAAACAGGATAAACTAAATTCCTAATTACTTTGCTAATTCTTTTTGGTATAGTGTTGATTAGTTTTTCAAATTGGTGACATGGCATGAAAAAAGTTTCTAAATTCTTTTTTTTTTTTTTTTTTTTTTTTTTTTACTGTAATATTTAGCTTCACAGATTTTCATTTGGATTTGGGTGTGGGGATTAGCTAGGCCAGTCCAATAGAACTACATTTTCACAATTTACATAATCTTTGATTCCCCTAGGACATTGTATTCATAAAAGATATTTGAATCATTTGTATTTTCACTTAAAAAAAAAAAAGAAGAGATTTCCAAAGAACTTTATATATAAAGAGAAGTACAGCCAAATGGTGATCAAACATCATTCATCTTATAGTGTACATTTCAAAAACCGAGGCTTGTATTTTTGATTAACATTCTTCCTTATGTAGATTTTTCAATCCAAACTGAATTTGTTGTACTTCTCTGAAAATAATTTCCCTGTTCAAATCCTTGATTTTTGAATTTCAATATCTGTTTGAAAAATCCAATTTAGTCTTCAAATTTTTACCAATGTAAAAGGTTATGTTCATGACTATTGATCAAAGTTCATGGAACCTGCTGCCTGCTGTTGAGGTTTGGGAACACTAAACAATGGAGGAGGCATGATGCTAATAGCCGCCTTCTCCCCCAGCTATGGGTAAATAGCAGGACAGGCTGGGTTCTATAGCCTTGGATGGCAACTGGTCTACTGCAGAAAGAAATGGCAACCTACTGCGGGAAAAAATCTGCCTTGTCAGTCATGTATTGAAAGATACATGATCGCCTAAGTGTGTATCACGCATGGCACATAACTGACTGACTAAACAATGGAAAAGTTTCACAACTGGATATTTCTTCAAGAATATCAATATCCATTTCATCATCTTCAGGCCATTTTTTCTTTTGTGCTCTGCTAGATCTTTTGTGTTTTGGGGCTGTTTTCTGGACAAAATGGTAGGTTTAGTAGTTTCTTGAAAGATAACCTAGCTTCATTTAAATTTGATTAGGTTCTTTCTGGAGTCAGGGGAAATTTGTTTTTTCGTAATGTCTTTAGTGCAGAGTATAAAAATGTATTTGTGTGTTAAATTGAATATATTAACATTGTGTCAGTTGTAATGACACCCCCAAAGTAATGTCATTCTCATTATCAGATACTCCATCCCATAAAAACCTATTTGCTACAGAAACCACTGCAGCAACACCTAGTGTAGTAAGGGTGTGGTCCTTATAAGTTACAGGCAAGTCTATAATACCTACATGACTGGATTGTTTTCAATTTAATATTAGCAGAATCATGTTAAAAATATATCAGTATTTGAAAACATATTTACTATACAATATTATTATTATTATTTACTGATATTTTTTCACCACTGTTTATAATATATATATATATATATATATATATATATATATATATATATACACCACTAACAGAAATCAAGTACTAATAATTTAATAATCCACCTCTGACCTATTATATGCACCTATCATATCTTTAAAGCATTTCATCTGTTATTAGAAACTTAAATATTTCTCATATTAAAATGTTTGCTAAATATTTCACATACACTTCATGAAAAGTGAGTGCTACTTAGCATTCATTTGTTTTCAGGTTTAATACAGGTATGCACTTTTGTAGTTCTTGAATGTCCTGAACAATTGTCCTGAATAAAAAGTATTTTTTTGTTTTGGTTGGAGTGCACTGTGTTAATAATTTTGCCTTGACCATTTGTTGCTGGAAAATCAATGCTGTACCTGTATATAAATTTATAATATAAATAATGCCTCATGTCAGAAATACAGATCCAAATTTCATGATTTCTTCAAATGACACTACTTGATTTCAAACAAAATAGTCACTTCACCATTGTTGCCTCTGCAACAAAGCTTCAGAATTTTAAAACTTTTGCTGTTAATTATGTGTAAATTAAAATTACTTCTTGACAGCATCAAACTTTTTATTTAGACAAGAAATGCTTCAAAAAATGAAATTGAACAAAATTTGATAATTTATGTTTCTAACATAATTAAATTTAAAAAATTATATTATTGCTTTTTTCATTGTAAGAAAACCTGAAAATTTATTTGCATTTTATCAGATAAGAAATATAAAAAAATTCAAATACTTTAATCCTTAAATAGAAACTCATTTTAATCTCTGAATAAAAGTAATATTTTAAATTCAATTTGTAACTGAGTGACATATTTCTTGTATTGTCTCCTTTTAACTTCCTAAAAGAAGACCTAATCATTTTAGTGAATCCTAAAGCCATACATATATTAATTTGAAAATAACAATGCTAAGTGTTGTTAGAAATATAACAAACAATTTAATGAGCAATTTATTGTTTTGTAATTACACTCTTTCCCCACAATCTGCCAATGCATAAAGCTGAATTTTAGTTGCAGATGAACCAGTAAAGGCAATGGCCCATGATGGGACTAAACTGAACCAATGTAGTTGTGTTCTAACTAAAAGGTTTGGGTACCACATGAAGTATGCCATATTACTCAACCTATAAAACACATTTCTTCTCTGCCTCCTCTTTCTATTTTCTTAAAGCAATACTTTTCAGTCACAGGTCATATTTTATGATCCCAGGTTGCCTTAATTTCTTCTTCATTTTGAATTGTCTTGTGATTTTTACTAGTATGCTCTTGCAGTAATAATCATAATTAATTTGAATGTATAAATTAAATTTAGAAAAACTGATAATTCTTGAATTACATTCTGTCATCAGCAAAATTTTAACCATAAATCTGAAGCAGCATTTTTTTTTCTTTTTATGAATTGATAATTTGGGATTGCTCTTATAACTATTCATATTGGTATTTAATTTTACTTACATGTACACACACACATTATATATATATATATATATATATATATATATATATAAAAGTTCTCATTTTTACTAAGAAGCCAGTTGGGAAAAAATCTTTGGAAGTGATAATTTTTCAGCACTCCCTCTTAAGATGTTATATAATTCTGCAGTCAATTTATGGTAATAATTTAATTCAGTTTATGTGATTTTTAGGATGATCTTGCTATCAAAATTATAAATCAAGGTTATGGGTTATGTATATTAGAACCATAATTTGTAATTTTGATAGAATTTATTCCTTTGAGCTAAATTTATCTGTACTTTACTGAAAAAGAGAAAAGTCTTGTTCTCAATTGTAATGTCACCAGTGGTCTAACTTTGCTTTGAGGGCATTCAAATTTATATTAATTATATTTTTTGTCTACCAAGTTTCATTGAATGCTCATGTTAAAAAACACCATTAGTTGAAAAAAATCTTATGATAAAGTATTTGTTTTCCTACAAAACTTTAAATATTGAAACAATAAAAACTTAATACATCAAAGTCTGCAGTATTCTACAATTAGAAATAGGTTCTGCTAAAACTTGTTCCTTATTCTCCTGACATCATATTGTTGTTTCACTGAGCATACTTCCACGCTGACTGGTCCAGGGATTGAACTTTCTATTCTTAGGAGTGAGAGGAACTTAGTTGCAGGAACTCGGATCTTTATCCATTAAACAAGAGTTGTAAGCTCAAATTGAAGGTTAAAAGATATGACTCCCAAGAAATGTTGGAGAGTGCACTGACCAAAATGTTAAAATAATATATATATATATATATATATAGTGAAGATTCTAGTATGAAAGAGCTATTGAAGCATAAGAAATTCACATCTCAAAAATTTGTCCAAAGAATAAAAAAAATACTTTAAAGAAATTTTGAATTACAAATAAAATGACAAAGAGACTAAACCAAGTTCTTGACAAGATGATAAATAACTTAGTAAAAATTAACATGTAATGAAATCAGAAGGGTGGTTGTTAGTGATTTTGGTGTTTGAGATGTTTGAAAATACAACTTGGTCTTCTGTTGTTTTGCTTAAGAGTATTCACCTTATTTAGTTAATTGGTGAAAATTAAGCTTTTTTAGTCAATCAAGGAATCCATTTTTGACCATATGGAATGTGAGATAATGTTCATCATGCACTTTGCTTTCTTTTGACCATTTTAATACTGATTTGTCCTTTTGAACAAAGGACTATGACTATGCAATCAAATTACAATCAAGATATTGCCTGAGAGTTGCAAAAGCTTAAAAATGGGAAATTCAGTTGGTGTGAATGATCTCAAAGATAATGGAACAAGGATCATGGAAAAGAATTGAGGCTGTGCATACTCTTTGAAGAATCCTGTTTTCACTTGGTTCCCAGTCTTTCACAGATTGTTCTATGCTTTTCTTTAATGTAATCTAATAACTTTTGACGGATGTAGTGATATGTTTTTACTTTAAAATGTCAGTCACATTAATATAAATCTATTTTGAAATATTTTACCATAAGTATTCATTTAAATTTATAAGAATTTCAAATTTGATAATTTTTGTTGTTTTTCCCCTCTAATTTGCTGTGATTATTGAATGAGTATAACTATCAATTAATTTTGAAGAAGTTCATTGCAGAACTCATAA